GGGGTAAGTACCTCGTGGCCACCCTACTAAAAGCTACAGCTACAGCATCTCAAGCGCAGTTGCGTTGAGAGATGTTGCTTGGAGCCTTGCCATGAATACATGGGTGGTTCTCAAAATTATGGTCCCTTTTTGGATCCCCAATATAATACGGCACCTAATATTTAGGGTACCCAAAAAGGGACCATAATTTTGACAACCACCCATATCACAAGTCAAGCTAAGATCTCCAGGAACAGGTGGCCATTCCACCATGGCTGCGCACTACCGTCATCGTACTCTTCAACTTCGGGACCAGCTGCTTGCACAGCACAGAAGGTCCAAGTTGCCAGATTCTTGAGCTCCCTACACTCCCTGAAACTAACATGGAAAGCCAAAAAGGGCCCTATAAAGACGAGAGTCCCTTTAACAGGGGGGCTATATGGGTTTCCATGTTAGTTTGGGGGAGTGTACCCTGCAAGAGCAAAACTAATTTGGGCTTGGTTGAAAACCCCATTGTAGAAATGTTAGTCTGGGCGGCTCTATTTTGCAGATTCACGGTAAAACGAGAAGGAATACAAAAGAACGATAAGGTTTTATAGTTGCAGGATTAGCATATGGAGTAAGTAGCATCCACTGTAAAACGATAAGGAACCAATAAATCGATAAGGTTTCAATAGATGCTAGAGCCCATGATAGGGTTTCTACACAAGCCCATTTCCCCTTGTGCGACATTTGCAGGCATAAACTTCCAAAGTCGCCGGCCACCCGCACTGCTAACGGTTAGCTCACGCCGCCGCAACAAGTGCTGCTGCGGGATCGCGAGACCATCACAACAACAGCGATTACTGCTGCTTCGAACTACACTATTGCTGCCTGCACCGGCTGTTTCATGATGTTGGGTTTACCTGTGCAGTAATTTGATGAACTGCTTTGCCTAGAGTCGTAGAGGCTTGCTATTCAAGACAGAAAGGGGTTCTTCAACTGGTTCCAGAGATGCAGGCAGGAAGTGTGAGAGAAGGTGTTTGGCTGGCAATTCAGCAAATTCCCAGAGGCAAGTGAACATCGGGAATCCGACGTGAGGCAGCGCGCATACTTTTTGGGTAAAATGCAGGACTTAACTGTTCTTTCATTGGCCCAACAAGCTGAGGTATCCTGCTCGTGAATTCGGTGAAGTGCCTCGCAACTTATGAAGTCTGTGCTTGTTGATTGGCTTACCCACCCCCCATATGGGGCTGAGTTAAGGTTGCAGAGGAAGCATTAAACTGGTGCAGGCAGATGGCTGGCTTGATGACCTTAATTATTGTGCTGCTCCTCCTCATTTCTCTTGCGTACTTGTTTGTCTTGGTTTATTGCCTTGGGCCAAGGTATCTCTACACATTTTCTGGCTTCCAATTTCCGCTCTTCATTGCGAGCATGCACATGGCAGCCTGCCTGCTTGGAGACTTCCTGCAGGGCAAGCTTGGTTTCAAACTGGGATTGCAATCAGGGTCCTGTAAAGAAGTCCGGTTGCCTTTGCGTAACTTCAGAAAGAGATCATGCGTGCTTGGTGCTTAATTCAGTAGCCTCACACAAAGTCCGTGTTCCATGCCTAGCAGCACTGCCAAGGGCCACCTTGGGCATGTTTGTAGGGACCTGTGTCCTTTTTAACAGAAGTGCTACACCGGCTTGAGAACCAGACTGGCGCTCAGTTACGGCTGACAGCATTGAAATGATAAAGCCAAGAAGGTTACAATCAGCATTCTGTTCCTTTGTTGATGGCCACTGGCGATGCTGCGAGTGCTAGTAGTGGCTTCGCTGGCGGTGAGAGTCGCAATGTTTAGATTTATTTTGGCAGCCCCTGGCATTGTTAGTGGCCTCATGCCGAAAGCTTACCTTGCCAGGTCTTTTCATGGGCCCTGACAGCAGCGCTGGTCCACTGTAACCAGGACCTGTCGATGTGGCTGGGAACTCCCAGTCGCAAGTTCCAAAACTACACAGAGATATGGGCATCCGTACTAAGGCTATATAATCAATTCTGAGAAGCTCCCACTTGGGCCTATGTCGGGAGGCTCTTGGTTATGCGTGTGGAATGCTGACGCTACCTAGGAAGAAACCCAACAAGCAGCAAGGTCATATCCCATACAGACCTACATAAATAGATAGGTACATACATACATACATACATACATACATAAATACATACATACATACATACATGCATCTGGGGAAGTCCCTTTCAGCTGCTAATATGAGAACACTAGTGCTTCGTAATTAGCATGCCTACCTAGTTCTGACTGGACATGATTCAGTCAAGGCTTCTAGCTGTAAGCCCTAAAGCTTACAGGTCTTGGCTAGCTAGGGGTCAGGATGGTTATGCCCCCTCCCCGCCTCATTTCAGTGGTGCAGTAAGGATTTCATCGAAACGCCTGCGTAGCGTGTGTCACAGTCTACGCCCACTTATACAGGCCAGGCAAAAACCCATGGGCGGACACGCACCATATCACCCCTGAAGGGGGGGCCCTCGTTACAGCACATGTCAGTGCAGGTGGGCACAAGTTACCAAAATTTGGGTTGCATATGCCTATGAGTATGTGTATAGTTATGTACACTTCAATCCCAAACCCTACATACCCTTAACCCCGAACAAGCCTCAGCATAAATGTCCATGCTGCGCGTAGCCATGTTCTGGTTTTCGGCCACTCTCGATTGGAACGCGCTGCTTTCCTTTGGCATGCTGAAGTACCAGAAACATCAATAGCGTCAGAAACCGCAACCCTAAAACTAAGCAGGAGAGCGGAGACAAGGCCTTAATGCCGGCCGAAGAGCGGCTGAGAAAGGCCTCTGTGGCTTCGTTTTGCCTTGGGCATTGTGGTAGGATGCGTAGGATAGTGGGCACTAGGACTAGGAGGTTTATGAAAGGGTTTTGGCCTAGCAGGCTGACTGTGGAATCTAAATAGCACGTTTCAGTTGGCGGGGGGTCCGTACTAGAAACTTCAAAGCCTTAGCCTCCAATCTTCTTTGGAGGTTTTGCCTTTCACGATTCTGCAAGCTGCGTCCATCGCATGTTCCAACCTGGCGCTCACGCACCTGGGCTCTTTTTGTTTAGGGTGCGCAATGGTAAATAGCCCCCCGTTGAAGAATTTCAATTGAGCGTAGGGCCTCTCTGGAAAGTAGGCTCGAAATAGGTAGTCCAGGGTGTGTATAGCTTGTGCAACATGAAACGGGCATACAGCCAGACCATGCGCGTAGCTTGCTACCTTGGATTCCGCAGTCCTGCCTGTGTATATCACATCCCCCCCACGTGGCACCACAAGCTTCACCATAGAGGAAAGCACTGAGATGGTATCAGCTGTAATCCCAGATTGCCAAAAGTGTGTTTTGCGGTGTGGGGCAAGGTCTGAGGCCTAACGGGATTCAGGATATGCAGGCAATTTCTGCATATTTCTGCTAAGCATAAGACCTCCCAAAAAGCAGACCCTTCTGGGACATCCCTCTAGGCGTGCATGTCTTGGATTCAGCCCAAGGCCAAAATAACTGGGTAGGGAAATGTCCGAATTGCATTGAGGCAGTTCTCTCTAGCCCCCGCTGCCGCATACTTTTCTGGGTCGCACTTCTGCTTAGTAGTATGCCTGCCCAGGGCGGATAGAACATGACCCAGTGATTTGTGGCCAGGATACCCCAACTACGCACCCGGCTATGCTCATTTGATAGGGTTTTCTCTTCGCGGTCATTGTTCACATTACTTTATCTGTTTTCATGTTTCAGCAAAGCTTTGATAGCTGAAGTGTACAACCTTCCGCCGAAACAGTTTCTGTCCTCCTGCTCCCGGTGGGAATCACCATCTGCTGCAACCGCCTTTTGGCCTTGATCTGTGGCATAGATGCTGTCCAACCACCGCCCCCTTTTCCACGCCGGAAGCAAGAGGAAGCTCCTCTAAAACAACTTAGGTATATCTACCCGTCATACCATGAGATGATTCAGTCACTGGGCCTGCAGAGAGCTGAGGTGTTTTCAGGGATGCTGCTTCTTTGTAATCCTCCTTAGTTCCCGCCCCAAAGTACCTTGAAAGAAGCTGATGGGGCCTAGACTTGCAGTGCAGTGTGGAACGTGCAGCGCCAAGTTTCGGGTTGAAATTGGACGTGAATTGGATGCTTCAAAGGCTAGGAGAGATGCATGAGGGATATTGGCGACCTGACAGTTGCTTGAAGCTAGAAGGATGTCTTGGTGTATCAGATGAGTTTCCAAGCTTCTTCAGAGACTCTTGCTGCATAATTCGTCGGTCGGCTCCAAGGGAGTACCCTGCAATTCGCTTTCAGTCACACGTGAGCAGAATAAGTACGATGATATTGCCACCTCAACTTCGCAGGGTCTCGAAACGTTATCCGCGCAGGTATATTCCGAGCATTCAACCAGCTTCGGGGCGCATCAGCATGCTTACTCCAGACCTGGGTGGGGTATCACATCGTAGTGACTGCTTGAATGTTAGACCAAGGGTTGTCCACATGTTAAAAAATGTGGGCCCACCCCACAACTTGAAATCCCAAATCCTAACCTAGTATTAGGGGTTTCCCAAAATTGGGGGTACTACTTTGGGGTCCCCATAAAGAGCATCAAAGTATTTTGGGGTCTATATTCGGGTCCCTCTATTTTGGGAAACTTCGAATTCTGAAACCAACCATCACACCTCACTATGGACAGTGATTCATGACAGGCAGGAACGACAACAGCCCTTTGATCATGAGGTCGCACCAATGGTGACTTTTCAGGAGCACCCATCACTAAATCATCGTCATTTGGGACTTGGGAAACGGACCCTTTTCAATAGGGTTTTAGTTGTGAGGAATCTTAAAGGGCTGGCTATGCCGCAAGAAATCAAAGGCGCAAGTTGTTTTCTGATTGGCTAAGCTGTGATGGGAATTGCTGCTTTCTTGTCAGCAGATCAGGCCATCAGGGCCATGGTGGGTGCAAAAAGATCCTCACTAAACAGCATCAAAAGAACTGAGTCCAGGTCAACGACGCCCCTTTTCACCCTGGTCAGTACCATGATCTTCGATGGCCGGCGCTACAACTGCATTGCTTACTGGGCCATGATCCCTGTCTGTGGCGGAGCAGTCAGACGCCAAGATGGGTTTCTCAAAACAGGGTACTCTTGGGGACCCTTTAGATATGTGGGATAGCTGAAGGATTTTGTGGGGATCCATGTCAAGCATTGTGCAGGATGTATTTTGCAAAAGCAGCCCAGACGCTGTGCAAGGCCTTACAATGCGGCAGGTATGAGCTGGCGGTCAACAACAGGGGCAGGAGCATGAAACGGTGATAACAATCCTCCATGCAACTCTACGCGCCGCCAGTATTCATGCGCAGAACTTGTTGGTTCAAGAGGTAGTTCTTTCCGCATCAGGTGGGATTCAGTGATTCTGATGTTTACCGTGACCTGCTGGTCTGCCAAAACACCTTGGCTCCCATGTTCGTCGTTGGCGCAGCCGCTAGCAGACTTGGGTACCGTAGTATACGACTTTTTTCCCTTTATTGTTGCAGCTTCAATCGTGCCCTTCATGTGATGCCCCACCACTGAACTATGCATTTTGGGTCCACTACTTCTCAGCCCTTCAGAGGCTGAAAGCTATGTCCGGAGCCCTCATTTTCGGTGGTTGGGTAGGACTTGGTTAATTTTCCTCCAAAGATTCACCCCCCCCCCCGAACTGGTAGACCCAGCATAGTACCCTTACGTATATGCGGGGAGTGTCATTGGGCGGCAGGGGGATTACAAAGTACAGACAAGTTGTGCTCAAAGCTCCGGCCAGTAGTTCATTATGAAAATGCTCTGACTAAGCCCCTGCTCTCCGTTCTTATGAGTGTTTGGGAGTTCCCAAAATTAGGGTCCCATTTTGGTACCCCTAAATATTTGGTGCCGTAATACAATCTGTAAACGAAAGGGGTCCATAATTTAGAGAACAAGCCATATGTCGGTATGTAGCCCTGAAATCTGTGGCGCATTCGCCCTGTGACATGAAAGCTGATAGAGCACTCAAGTCCAACACAAAGACTGCTGAGAACACATCCTGCAAGGAACTGGTGGCAAATGTCTTGAAAACAGAGCCCCGAGAACACAACGAGCAGCATGCCCATTCAGCGCTGTAGAATCGGCGAGGACCATTGCACGAGCAGATCCTGACCTAACAGAGCCTAACAGCCCAAGAAACGGCAGTTTCCTGCACAGACTGGAAAGGAACGTATGGCGGCAGAGGTGGCAACTGCAGTTAACATGCAATTACACCCTAAGCAGGATTTGCGTGCAACGTCTCATTGGGATTCTTGCCTAAATCCTAAACCCTAATCCTTTATAACCCCTTCAAAGGGACACAGGGTAGTGGGTAGCAGCATCCATGGAACCGTGCTCAGGTCATCAGCAGCTGGAGTGAGGCCAACTTCTCCCTGCGGCTGGCTTGATCCTAGCAGTTTTCCTCCCTGCATACATATACACACATACATATATACATACAGTACATACATATTATACATATATATATATATGTCTACACATATAGAGATATACTGACTGTACACGTGCATGTATGTAGGCAGATAGGTATGTATGTATGTGTATGCGTACATATGTAGTATATATATATACATATTGAAAGGTTTTTACTTCACTTTGTATATTCACGCAGGACATACGTTTCATTTCGAGTCTGCATCTAGGTGTATATACACGTGTGTTGATATATATATATATATAGTGTTTTTTCTTTTTTCTTCGGGTGGCTTCTAAGCCCCAAGCCCTGACACGATCAAAGGCTGAAATTTCTAGCCAGGCTGAAAAAACTGAGTCTTTGAACCCTTAAACCCCCCTAAGCCCTACAACCCTATAAGCCCCTTTCAAGGGATCCTTTTGATACCCCTAATTTCTTCAAAGGGACCCTATACATCCCCTTGAGCCCTAAAACCCCGTGATTCATCCAGGCTGGGAAGTGCTCTCTCAGCCCTAGCTGTCGCGTTCCGCGCCCTGTGCCCTGGTGTGGCTGTTCATGTGGCATGCGTTCGTTCGTTAGGCGTGGGTTTGGGTTTTGACGGGTGTCGGTGTCAGGGTTTGCAGTCATGGGTGCAGAGTTTGTGATTTTGGAAGCTGAAGTTTATCAATGTTTTGCTTGTGTTGCCTGGAGGATGTGGCATTTTCTAAAATTTGAAGTGAAAGCTGTGCAGGAACGAATTGACACATGTCTGCGTGCGCGTGTACGTACAACTTCGCCCCAGATCAGATCCTTTTTTACGCCCAGCAAGTAGCAGAGAACGTTTTGGACAAACCGGCTCACATAGGTTGGTAGTGGTAGTGGTAGTAGTGGTGGTACTGGTAGTGGTAGTGGTAGTGGCGGTAGTGGTGGTGGTGGTGGTGGTAGTAGTAGTAGTAGTAGGAGTAGTAGTAGTAGGAGGAGGAGGAGGAGCAGCCGTAGCAGCAGCAGTAGCAGCAGCAGCAGCAGTTGGTGCTGATAAACCCTTGCCGCAGCAGAAGAAATCTGACGTTCAGATTGGGTCCCAGCATGTGCCCCTCCTGAAAAAACCTCATGTACAAAGCACATCCTACCGAGATGCCTCTACGGTTCTCCACAAGCCCCAAAACAAGGTGCTGTTGAAGCCTGAATACTTGAAAATATGATTCTTATATAATATGCTCTAGAACTATATTGAATTTACTAAAGCCCCCGATTTGTGCAATCCCGGTGTAATGCTCAAGCTACATGAACCCAGTTCCCATTTCATTCTTTATCTGCTTCTGCACATGAATCTCACAGGCCCTAATCCCAAAATCCTTCAGCAACTACTCTGAGGAAGACGATTATGCAAGGAAGGCTGCTATGTGAGCAGTGGCTCAGCCGAGAGGACAGGACTTCCACTAAACTATCACTAGTCACAGTGATAGTTTAGATGGACCCCCCCATCCTGGAATAGTGGTGTAATAGGAATATAAGAGGGCCTTAATATCATCACGATTATCCCTTGTAGACCCTATTACTGGGTGGGAGGGAGTGTCCGCATGTTAGTCATGGTAATGTAACAGTACAAGTGATAAATTAGGATATGTACTTTAAAGTAGAAAGGAGATTTTTCGTCTGTATCCTAACACAGGGGGCCCATAATTACCAGACACCAGTGGGTAGCAGGATCACGTAGGCAGCTGCAAGACTGGGGCATGCTTTTTTGGATCCCTTAGAGGGATGGGATTTGTGGTAATTTAAATTACGTAGTATATTCGCGAAACTTTTGTTTACAACATATACCCATTGTGCTAACTTAATTCACTTCCTTAACAGCAACAAAGTTTAGGAGTCTAGGACTTCAGGAAATAGTCTCCTGGGACATAGTCAATATGTCCCTTCCGGGATCTCACGCCTTTATTGTCCCAGGCTTTGTGGAAGGAGACTTTCCTTCGAGCTTGATCCTGTGGGCTTTCAGATCGGAGCTTTAGAGCTCAGCCTTGGCTTTTCTCAAGTATGTGGGGGGGTTCTCGAAATGGGGGTCTTCATTCCAATACCCCTAAATATTAGGTGCCGTGATATATTATTCTAAAATCAAAAGGGGCCATAATTTCCGAAAAAACCATGTGCTGCACAGCCAATTGCAAATTATATCTGAAGAATAACCCATGTGCGGCACAGCCGGCTGCAACTTGTATCTCAAGCGGCAGTATGACGGGGCTCTGTTGCTTAGAGCGCAGCTTGCCATTGCAGCCTTGTTTTCGAGCCTGCTGAAAGCAAATTTGTTGCTATACTGTTCACCTCATGACCCTCAACTCAAACCTGCTCAAATCTTGTAACCATGAACCCGAGCCGTCCGCCCATGGCCAAGGAAGGTGGATTCCATCACTCTGTGTCCGGGCTTGTTCATTTGAACCGTGAAGCATTAATGTACGCAACTACTCCCGGAAACCCCAAACCCCATAGACCTAAGAAAGCACGTCTTAGGCCACTGTATGTTTGACCGAAGTTAAGTTGAGATGCAGCACACAAGCTTGGCGTTTCTTCTGCTCTTGAAATCAAGGGTCCATGCTGTCCGCCTGCTGCCCAAATTAGCTTGAACCCGAAAGAACTACTAGCGTTATTTACTCCGCTTGGATGTGTGAGAGAGACGTTGCGCATTCGGATCGCAGTATGTCCTATATTACAGCAGCAGAACATGATTGAAGGGGCGCCAGGCTCATGCAAGCCAGTTTTTTCAAGAATCCCTGTACGGGAGTTGGTCGCACGCGCACGAGGCGCCTGGCGATTTGGGCTTGCTTTTAGTGTTTGGGGTGTTTTTCCCTAGTTTTTTGCCTCTCCGTTGAGCTCCGAGACCATACTCCTGCCAGTGCATCCATGCGCAAACCACGATAACGTTCGTGTTTCGAGAGCATGCGGTTACCAGTGCATCCATGCCCACACCATAATAACGTTCGTGTTTCAAGAGCATACAGTCAGGCCTCCTGCCACAGGGAATTTTGTCATAAATAGTAAATAATTAGGTTTACCTAACTTGAAAAAGCTTCATTTTCGGCTGAATCGCGCCAAAACCATAGAAATCAACACATCCCGCCACCTTAAAACATCCAGGCGTCTCGCGCGCGCGCAACCTAGTTAGGCGAGCATTGTCCGCAAACGAGCGAAGTCCCCCTCCGATCTATTAAGGCGCCTGCGCATGCTAACAGATGCATTCAGGCCATTCACCGGTATCTTATCAGACCCGAACTAAGGAAGGGTGATGTGCTAACACCGCCTCGGAGCCCATGTCTGTCAGAAGTTTGCGTATTCCAGCAGCGCTTGAGCGCTGAAGTGCCCCAAACTCACTACAGCCTATACCAGCAAGTTTCATCCTACCACCTGAAAAAGTCTTAGCTTCGAGGTTCCACAGAACATGCCCCGTTGCAAGAACTGCTCTCGGAGGCATCGAACCATTTGTGTAGAGCTGAAGCAGTACTCGTAGTAACCTCACCATGTGCTCGATGGGGAGCTTTCAGATCTCCTTTCCTTCTTCATTTGGAGTGGGTCCATGGAGTTGCTGGTACTGGGTAGACGTTACGTAGAGACTCCAGACAACCCACCCTACTTTGGGGTAGACCGATGGAAGCGAGTCGGCTTTTAGATTTGCAAGCAAACATCTGAGAAATGAGAAACACCATGGTGTCTGGTAGACCTGCAAGCACAACCAGAACTGCAGGAAGCCACATTCGAGCCTTAAACGCACAGCTCTGACTAAGGTGCTATTACATGGCTCCCTACAACCTGGCAATCTTTTCGGTGGCTTCTGCTGCGGTAGAGGGGACGCAGCCCTTAAGGCTTGGCCGAGCTTCTTTCGATAGCATGCATATTGGTGGTCAATGGGGGATGGCAAAAAATGCAAACTTCTAGTGCTTGGAGTCCAGTGTTCCGCACTTTAATAAGAACCTCAAAAGCTTCTATTCTTCCAGTTGCGACTCCTGCCTGGGTCAATAGCAAGTAGCATCAACATGGCATAAAGAATTCTTCAGATTGTAGCACCTTGTCCGTCAAGTAGCTGAAGAAGTGATAGCTGCCGCGGTATCCTCATCAGAAGCAGACAGAAGTGGAAGTAGAAGCACCATGGATGGCGACAGCAAGAGCTATTTCAGTTGTATTCAGTTGTAGTAGGAGTACAGTTCCAATATGGCTTTGAGTAGATTACAATAATTTACCGATATACCCCATATTCTATTCAACCAAGGGGGATTATAACCCCAATATTTAACCTATTCTCATGACATAGTAGCTTCCATTTTCCATTATCTTTACAGCTCTATCTTTATATAAACCCAATAATATACACCATATTCTATCTACTTAAGGGGAGCTATAACCCTAAACCCCAAACCCTAAACCCATAAACCCTAAACCCAAGAGTAGCTGTACTTATCCTGTTCCTCCTCCTGCTAGCAGCGCTCCATGGGACCTGCCCTGGGTTCTAGTACTTGCCTCCGACCAGCATTATGTAGGAAAATGGAGTTCCCCAATGAAAGGTTTCTAGGTACCCAGTAGTACACTTTTCCTTTTTTGTTTTTTACTTTGGGGTCACTTTATAAAAGCTGAATACGTATTAGGAGAAAGGGGTTCCCTTACTATTAAGGGGTTTACTGGGGAACCCAAACCCTAAAC